TTAAAAAATAAATTAAGAAATCTTATACAAGAACATTACTTGAGACAGCACCAAAAAACCGAACTTAACCTACTTTCAGGCATCTCAGAAGAAAAAACGCGGATTTCATGGGTACCCTTTTAGTTGGGAAAAACACAAAAAGTTGAAGGCGAAACTTTTCTTCGATATTAATGAGAGGTTTGTGGTTCTCATGAAAAGAAACTCATGAAGGTGGCAATTTCAGGCGGACTGGGTTTCAACTAAGAAACAACTATTTTGTCAGATATGTGTTAGCTTTAATATATTTAACTAAAATTAGATGGTCGAAGTTCAATCCTGCTCATTTAACTTTTCAACAATTATGTAAATTTAGGTAACAAACAAAAGAAACTGCTGAGGAGAACACGAGTTTTGATGAAATTTGTGTGTTTTGGAAAATTCATTTTAGCATTTAATTCATTTTTTTTGCACAGCAATTAGCAGTTCATAAGTATGTAGTTCTTGAAAGGCAAAATAATTTTGTTATTGTTGTATGCGTTTGATTGATTTAACATCGATTTCTTATAGATTTTTTAAGACGTTTCAGTAAAAATTCTAAATGTTCCAATTTTGTTTCAATACTTGAAGTGTAAACCAGTTTTCCAAATGGTAAAATTGGCTGAATAAATTTTTCTGTAGATTTTTCCCAAATGCGCACAGTGCTGACTTTTTCTTATCAAAGTTAAATAGTTTTCACTCTTCAAGTTTTCATTTATAATTTGTGCAAGTTAATTAAACTTTCAGGCTATACTGTTTCTTGTTTGCTAGTTTTCTTTCTACTAAAAAGCATAGTTTTAGTTTTTTCTTAATTTATAGCTTGTTATTCATAAGTTACCTTCGTCTAAAGTTTTGTAGCTTACTTAGATTATTAAATAAAAAGGTTGTTTTTATGATTAAATCTGTCGCACGGAGAAAAAAGTTACCAGTTTTGAGGATAATTTACCAATTTTGAGGATAATTGCTACTTTCTGTCTCATTTGATTATAAGCTGATTAAAAGCCGGCCCAATGAGGGCCATTGTGGTACACCAAACACTTCTTTGACTATTGATTTTTTTCGAAAGGTATACAAACTGTTTTTTGATTTTCTAAAAAAGATTTCAAAAACTCAAGGTCAGCACAACCTAAGGCCCCCTAAGTTCAATATTACAAAATTGAGCGGCTTGAAACCAAAAGATGCTAAAACGGCAAGAAACCTCGGTATGCTTTTTAACCAGGAATAATAAAGAATAGAGAAATAATTAATTTTGATGGTAGGTGCTTTTAGTATATAATTATTCAGTCGTATGGCGAACAGAGCATCTTGAAGCTCTTGCTTAGGTATAGAGAGCGCTTTCGTTGGTCGCGAGTTTATCCAAGGATGAAAAACTTTTGAGTTTTTTTTTTGCAAATTGAAGAGTCGCACACTCAAAAAAACCAACAGGCTTTTTGAAGTAAATGCGGATAAAAATAAGTTGCCCTTAAAGTGGGAGACCAGATTCTTGTTTTTTCTGGCAACCCGTCATCTCATTTTTGGCTACTAATTATTCAATTATCCGTAAGCCAATGACAGACCGTAATGGTGTTTGAGGCTACTAACACAACAGGGCAATCTGCAACTCTGTAACTTTCACACGGCCCATTTAAGATGAGACGTAAGATGATTGTTCGGCACCGTTTAACTTTTCCTTAAAGGGTCAAGAAAGTGTTTTGTAAATCTCCGGTTTCATTGCCAAGGTAATTTCATCAGACAATTTTAGCTAAATTACATTACCCCATCTCGGGTAACGAAACCAAATCATGGCTAACTTTAATTGCTTGCTTAACGTCTTCGAAAAAATCCATGTATTCGTCAATGTAAACTTTTTCAATAACTACTGATTCGGCCCCAGGATATGTGGACATCTTATCATTTGCCGTTTTTAGGCAAATTCAGTGCAGAGAAAATAAGGCGAGTGTATTAATGAACTACCAACGACGAAGTGATACCCTCCGCCACAAAAAGGAGTGATATTTGATCGTGGACGAGAGCCCCCACCTGGAAGGACATACCCTCTATATTCGCGGAGACTTATTTGAATTTTTGGAAACGCAAAATTAAAAATTTTGAATTTTGGAAAAGGCCCGAACCCACCAGTAAGGTTTTATTTAAGGATGTACGGTGAATCTTAGAAGTTCATTTAAAAATTCGGTTCACCTTACCAGGCTTGTTCGGGCTTACGACGGGATGGTTCGGATGCTACTACTCGCGATTGTATCTTTTACGTGGATCATGCGGTTCAACAGTAACACAGGGCCTTTCCTAATATCCTCTCTCCATGTGTCTAAGCATCTGTCGCGCAGTTATTTGTGTTTACTTAACCTTTGCTTCAATGTTTCCGAATAAAAATGGATAAAACGTGTTTATGCGCGGCGGAACGGGCATCGACTTTTTTGGAAACCCCATTGGAATTCAACACGTACCAGTGGAACACTGTTGGTTTTTATCCTCTTCCAGGATGATTTCAATGGGTCTAACGGCGTGATAGCAATCTTGGCTTTAAATAACTTCAACGTTCTTTTACGTGTATTGGGTGAACTTAAAAAGCGTTAATTGTGATATTTATTCTGCAAATTACCACTATTGATTATTTCGAAGCCAATCTGATCTAAGTCTTTAACGTACGCACGGAGAGTGCAAACAAAATATCTATTATTGGGCTTGATTGTATTCATTGTTTTCAACTTCTTTACTTGTTTTTCGATAAAGGTACGGGATTTTTGGGAGTACGTCTTCTACCGGCCATGTCATTTCTCACGGGAAGCAGTTATGTGCTAGCTTGGTTTTTTTTTCAGTTTAACACAACAAAAGCTTCAAATTGCGAGCTGGTTAATTTAGAATTCATGTAACGATTTTCAATTATAGTAAAAACTTCTTTTAACAGAAGTATGTTCCTTGATTTGGATGATTGAAAGTCCTTGAATTCAAACTTATTCAAAAAAACACACGGTAGAAAAAAATTACTGAAGTCATTTACCAAAGGCAAAAATATTTCGCAAGAGTCCCTGTTTAACCAATAAATATAAACAAGAAATAAAAAGGTAACGAAACCTCCAGACTATCCTTCACCAATATCTATTAATTTCCAACCCTCTCATTGAAACTCAAACAATTTCAACCTTGGTTAAGAGGAAACTAATTTTCTAAAGACCTCTCAAATAGGTGAAATCCTTTTCTGAATGATCACTCTGAAACAAAATGTAACAAGTCTCCAAAACAAGAAAGACCGCTCGTCAATGTTTAATAAAAATAAATAAATTATACATGAATTGAGTAACTTCTTCAAGTCTTTCAACAGAAATTTATGAATTTACTTGATTTATCTATTATTTTCCGTTTCATTTTATCTTTGACCTTTGTAATTCGTGTTTTCTTCATTAGTTCGTATAATTGCTTTTTTATTTTTCTGTACCGACACAGGTTTCTGTGCTCTTAGACCATTCTGCTCATTGACGACGACCATTTTAACAAATATACTACAGACTTTGCTCAAAATCATTATCTGACAAATATAATTCTGAATCAAGTATAACCATTTTCAAGATATAACATCTTAGTTAGAGTAAAAATGAACTGCGGCTCGTTACAAAATTAACCACCATAAATATAGCGTTTGCTTTTTGGTAGTGTACCTTATATGCTTTTGGAGTTTCGATTTTCAAGCATTTGCAGCGCATGTATAATTTTAAATTTTTGCTAAGTTCGACATTCATTTTCTCTGGTAAACAAACCACATCAACTTTTATAAGATGTCAGCCTTCGACATTTTTCAAACAGCGGAACAAATCAAACGCAAATTTCAAACTGGTTATCCTAAAACTGCAGTCGAAATTCCTGATATAACGTGGAAATCAGCATTTAATTACGAAACAACTCCGATCCTCAACAGAAACATCATTCGCGCATTCGATTTCAATTTGAAAGATGAAGTTTTTGTAGGCTCTAAAAAATTCGAGGTAAATTCCTTATTTCGCGAATATCAGCAGTTAACCCACGTCAATGTTAGCCGGAAGTTTTTCGTTTTGAACTTCATCTGCGATGAAAAGTATCCAGGTGAAACAGCAACAGTGACAAAAGACAGGCTGGTTGAGAATATTCTTCGAAAAGGCGTAACCGCCAATGGAGGTAAGACTTACAATATTGTTGGCTGTAGCAGCTCTCAACTTCAGAGGAGGTCGTTCTACTTCATGCAGGGATCCCTAGAGGATTGTGAGGACCAGATTCACGAGTTTATTCCGAACTTGCATGACCTTGAACGAAAAAAAGGTGTCGAAAAACGTACCAAATACGTTGGACTACTGTTCACCGGATGCCAATACATTGTTGACTTGCCCCAAAATGCCGAATTTCAAGTAATCCAGAATTCTGACATAGAAAATAATGGTTTCAATTTTACAGATGGCTGTGGATCTGTGTCCTACCAGTTGGCAAACTGGATATGGAACAATAACCCACAGCTCCAGAAAAAATGGAAAACTCTTCCCAGTGTGTGGCAGATTCGATACTATGGAAGAGGCGCTCTATGCAAAGGTGTGCTCGTGGTCGACTATGGCGATAAAAACAGGCGGCGATTAGTTCTACGGCCTTCTCTGATGAAAATTGAAGGCATACATTCTCAAAATGTGTCCAAATTGTTACAAAATAAGTTGGGAATTGTATCAGCAACCACGAGACCCCTGGAGGGAAAACTGAACAAGCAAGTTATTGCCCTACTGAGCTCAACTATTGCACCGAGTCACTTGCTTTCAATTCAAGAATCACACTTGAGAGAAATCACGAACTGTCGAAAAGACCCTCTCGTTGCACTGAAAAGATACGCAAAAACCAGACAAACTAACTGCTTTGAAAAACTTCTTCGAAAACATGCGATAAACGTAGTGCCTCCTGGTTTCGTCTCTCTGCCTGGGATGCTTCAGCAAGTTTCCACCGAAAAACTTCAGGTTCCACTGGCATGTGCTAGACTAATGATAGGAGCTGCATTTCCCAAGTATCTTCACGAGTATCTGAAAGAAGGCCAATGCGTAGTCCTCAACGAGTTTGGATTCGTTCAAGGCAACAATGGCCATTTATCTTTCAGCTTTATTTTTGAGTTTCTCTTTTTATTAAAAACAAAACAAGATATTGCTAATAGGAAAAGATATTATGCTCATAGATTATTCTGAGATCTGAGTATCAAAGGTAAGTTTCAAATTTTATTCTTTTGAGAAACTTGATATAAATTTGACTGACTGACTCAATGGATAAATGGCCATTATTGGCTAAAGGTGAGGTTGTCATTTATCGGAGTCCTTCGTATTCGCCTGGCGACATCCGAGTACTCAATGCGGTCTCACTTCCCCCTGAAAATCCTGTGTCACAATTGAGAAACGTCATCTTGTTCAGCACAAAAGGACAAAGACCGGAACCCGACAAAATGAGTGGGGGTGATTTGGACGGAGACCTCTATCTTGTCATTTGGGACAGACGCATTCTAGAACATTCTAGAAATTTGAAGAAAAATGAAGCTCAGAGCTACAGTGTGCCGACTGAAAAAAGACCCGAGACATTTCAAGTGACGCAAGATTGGATCAGCTACGTAGCCTTGTGGGAAAATGTGCTGCTTGCTCAAATCGATTCATGTTTCTTTGCTATAGCTTCGGAAAAAGGCATCCGCTCAAATGAGTGCAGAAAACTTAGTGGTCTGTTTTCACGAGCAGTTGATCAGATACCTTCAGACTTCGAAGCACTCCAGAAACTCCTCGCTCAGCGCTTGACCAGAAGAGACACAATACCTGTTCTTGAAAATGAAAACAGCAAGCCTATTTGGGATAAAATGATGTCTATACAGTCGAAAGTTGCTCATGAGATCACAGAGAGCAGATTCACAGTAGAACCAAAGGACTGGTCCATATTTTACAGCAACCTAGTCAAAACAAAGCCAAGCGATTTTGAATCACATCTCAACGATTTCGAAATCCAAGCTATAGTTCCACGAATTGCAATTCAAAAAATAAAAAGTCTGTGGACTCTTCTTTACAATCTACAGCTTAATATAGAGATGTTCTCGACGCCAGCTGCCCGTAAGATCAAAACTATTCGTTGCTCATTTGATTGTGTTCAGTCTAAATGTCTTTTGATCCATCCTGAAGCAGCAAAGTGGCGTGAAGAGTGGTGTGACAAAATGAAAGCTGAAATAAACTTTTTCGTGAAGCCGTTTGCAGAAAAAATAGCGATGTTCGAATTAAAAGTTTCAGAGCAAGAGAAACTTCTGCAAGCTGCACTGGCTAATTTTAAAATAAAATTTGAGAAAGTTAAAAGCCGAAAAGAAATTCTGGCGAAAAATTATAACTTGGTTGACCGTCATCTGGAAAAACTTAACAATATGAACAGGCAGCTTATTATTGTTCAAGAAGACGAAGAAGGCCTCAAAAAACTTCATAATGACGCGCAGACGGCACCAGATTTGAATCAATATGACTACGCATTACTGGTAAATTAATTTGGATCTCTTTAACCAGGGCGCGGATCTGGGATTTTCTCGAGGGGGGTGGGCGCGGATTTTCAAAATTATGTCCAACTTTTTTTTAGGTCGACCAACTCACTATAAAAACCCCATTCATACCATTTTTTTGCACCGCAGGCATATTTTTGAAAACACCGGCCAAAAAAAGGCGTTTTTAGGCACTTTTTGGAAAAAGTTGACCAAAAAATCGCGCTTTTTTGGCGCGAGCTCCCCCCTCAAAATTAGAATATTTTGACGCCGTTAGAAAAGTTTTAAGATTCAGTCAGCCAAAAATGGATATGTCAAAATAGTAGAAAGGGGGAACCTTTTGGGTCGAATCCCTGAGGAGGGGGGCAAGGGGTTGTCCCCCCAACCCTCCCCCCAAATCCGTCCCTGTCTTTAACTATCCCCCTACGGTACCTGAATACGAAATGCCTATGAAGAGTTATTCAATGATTAAGCATATGTAAAATCTGAACCTAGTAACGAATCTCTTTTTGCACAAGGGGGGCTAGTAACACGGGCGAAGCGGAGCTTCTCATCAATTGCAATAAAACACAAACAAAAAAAGTCGAAAAAATTCATTTGCCTACATAAAAGTTACCCTGCCTGAGGCCCAGCTAAAGCTGGAGGTAGCTGTTTGGTATTTTTAGAATTTGTTATACTGATGCGGGATAAAAAGGGTAATTTCAAAAATGGGCCGCCCAAAACGTTAGTGAAATACTAAAACAAGTGGGAAGAGGTAAAATTTTTGAGAGATTGGAATCTTCCCAAAAACATAACATTTCGCTCGCAAAAAGCAGTTACCTCTTCTGTCGGAAAATTTTTTGTAGCTGGTTCTTTCGATTGATCTGTTCGTCTCAGATTTTACAGGGTAGTTTCTAAAACAATTCAAAAACTTTCTAGAAAAACGTTCAAAAGAACAATAGCTTGACTTTACAAAAGATTTAAGTTTTTTTTTCTGTGCAAAAAGAAACAAGTGGCCGCTTAAGCATAAAATATTCCCAAAATCGGGTTTCTCGATGGAACATGTAACCCAAAATTAGCAGTAGCTTTCGAGAAAAGTCAAAAATTTCCAAAAATGGCCAATAAATCAGAAATTTGATTTTCCCGAGAATCATAGCTTTCCGTGTAAAAACTTTTTGGTGCAGCTGGTTATGCAACAGAGATCCGTAGAATTTTTTTTCTCGATTGCACGCAAAAACTCAGCTTTCGTCCAGTATTTTTTGAGAAAAGTCGAAAAGAATCAAAAGCGGTCAATCTAATTAAATACTTGACCATTCCGAGGGCCACAATATTTTGTATGGAACAAATTAAGCGTAGCCCGTCTACAGGGGGCTTGTAACAATCCGTTTTATCTTTTGAACGAAAAACATCAGATTTAGAAGGTTAATTTGATGAGAAAACTAAAAGAAATATTGGCCCCGTATATTTTTTGAAGTCTGTGGAAAGTGGAGCAAAGTAAAAAATATATAGACTAGAGGGTTATATAGGAACAAAGGGAGGCAGGCAGTCGGTCTAACCATTGAGCCCCCTTGTTTGAAAATTCTGTAGAGTAAATTTCGAGAAAAAGAATTTCTGCAACATTTCTGTAAAGGAAAAAAATTAGAAAGCGTTTCAAACCAAAAAAAAATTTAAAAACCCAATCCCAATAATTTCATATTACCTGTTTTTTATCAAGCGCTAACTTAATTAACATGCCAAGCAAATCATCTGATTTTCAAATAAACAACAGAACTTACGGAACGGAAACAAAGCCGATAATCTTTGAGCAGAGACCCGTTGAGCCGAAAAAAAAAATTTTATACAAAACTTTGAAAACTTTCATGTTCCCGCTAAAACTACAGTTTTCAACACCAAAAACTATCTTGATACGTGGTTACAGCACAATAAAAATCTGTGATGTGGCACTTAGGCCGATAAAATTTCAAAAATCCGTTATTTCAAATTTTACCGGAAAAAATTTCAATTTTTTACAAGCTGAAAAAGAAGCAAGGTCGAACCGGGACTCCATACCCGGAACCAAGGCTGTAAAACTAATCGCGTTACCTCCATTCAAGTGGGAAGAAATCTGGAAGTTGTAAGGGTTCAATGAAAAAGCAAGTTCAATTTCTTGTAAGAAAAGTTGTTTACCGGAAAAAAGTAAAAAATCTAGTTCCCGATTATAAGACGCTTGCTCTTGCATCCGTAATTTGAGCTTGCTTTCATTTGATTATCTCCTTAAAGTTCAGTTGACCAATAAACTGTTTGGGATCAACTGAGTCATCGTATGACGCACCAATTACTCTTTATTTTAATTGCATATTAAAATTTTGAAACTTTCAACAGTGCCTAGGAAAGATGATAGTAGTATAGTAAAAGTGGCTAGGAAAATGACCACTTTTAACCCCCCCCCCCAAATTTGGTGTGCCGTTGTACTTACCACTTTTAACCCCCAAAGGGGTTAAAGCCCCTACTTTTTCGGGCACGCATGTTTTAAGGGGGGTTAAAATTGGTAATTTTCCAGCCACTTTATGGAAATGGGAATGGAATTAAGTTTTGGTTGGTGCATGTTTTCCCTTCTAAAGTTTGGGGGTATTGGCTTGTTTACATGTAAAATGACGTTATATACCTATTATATGCAACCAAACTATATGGTATATAGGAAAGCACAAGATTTTGGCAGCGTAGCTTAGCTGTTGGCTGCGGTGAACGATTTCCTTCAAAAATACATGTTTGATTGCTGAATCTCGAAGAAAGGAAAATTCGTCAAGTGCGGCGGCCGCCACCTCTATTTAGGCAAAAATTAATGGTCAATATGATCGAAATAGTAATGAAAAATTACTTTAAGCTAATTGAAGGTAAAAAACAGAGAAAAATTACGAAACACTGAAAACTATAAAATAATGAAGTTGGCTTGAAATTTTCGACATTTCCATTTTCCGTGTCTACAGGAGACTGAAAAAACGTCTGAAATCTATGAAAAAAATTTCGATTTTATAGAAAGGTTGAAAGAGCTAATAAGTTGAAGTGGCTAAAGATCTTGAAAAACGAGAACACTGATGAACACTTAGTTTTGCTGCAGCCATTTCTAAGACTTGCATATACCACTTTTTATAATAAAAAGGAAACAATTTCCGGAGCTTCTAGAAAACGTTTAGTACTTATTTTTAACTTTATTGTGCTAACAGAATTTTTGAAAATATTCATCAAAGCGGACCTAGAAACTGGAGGAAAACTGTTATTTGTGTACCAATATATACGACAGAACAGAGTGACCATCAAATAAAGCAGGTGAAAACTTATTTGCGACCTTTAAGGAAAGCAGTTTTTCAAATTAAAGCAAACTCAATCGGGAAAGACTGAACACAAACTAAGACAAGTTATGGATACAAACTTGATATAAATTCGGAGTTATAATTTGACCATCCAAACTTTTTGATTTTTCCATTAAAAGAATATGCAAATAATTAACTTTTTAATTTGATACTACAATCTGGTCAACTGTTCTCAGTATCTTCTGATTAAGTTCAAATTGGTTTTAGCTAGAGCTTTCTATTCAAAAATTTGAAGCACTATCAGTTATGATCATTGATTAACCTTCTGCTCAACAAATCAAATTTTGAGTGTTTTTTAATATAAATCTGGTCTTTTGAATGTTTCCATGATTACGCTAATGCCTCTCAAAATACGGTGGCTTTTTGACCAAAATATTCGATTATTCATCAACAACTAATTGTGTTATCAAGAATTCAACCTTTCTTTCAATATATGTTTGGGGTGATCCAAGCTTTCAGATTCACGTTCTGATCACTAGCAGTATCAAAGCAGTTCGCATCATGATATTTCTTCTCATTTTTACATCGATATTTGTCTTCTGTATTAACAAAACATGTCTTCGAAAAACAGTTAGTTGTTTGAAATTGTAAGATAAAAAATCAAGCCTTATCATTAACACTCTACCTGAATCTTCGGATTCCGTCAGGATGATAGCTGTTTCACACTAAACAATGCTTTCACACCAAATTGGCTACAGCAGTTTCCGAAATGTTGTAAGTGCCATTTTGTAGTTTCAATGCATTTCGATAAACATCAATTATGTTGTGTTATCTTAAGCTTGCCAATAAAAAGTTTGTTAGACAGTTTTACTTTGAGGAATTAAAAACTTTGAGCCTCAATGCAGAAAGACTTGCTATTAATTTCAAAGACAAAAGGCGTAAGCATTTCGAGCTATTTCATAAAACGCTCTAACGACTAAATAAATCTTGAATTTAAAAAAGTGGTACTGACTGTTTATCTGATTACACAATTGCTTCACTTCTGTTGGTTTATAAGTTTGATTCATTATGAATTTTCAAATGAAAACCATTGAAAATTTGTTATTTTTAGAGATTGATCAATCATCCTTCAAATATACAGTACCTGTCATTTAAACTGTGCCCGCTTACCGTCTTCAGCTCTACCAGCCGCATGTATTTTTCTTCCATCGATCGTATTCGTCTGCACGGTCAATGATTTTCCTCAATAAACCATCATTTTTTTCTAATAATTTGGTTATCGTAATCTCAATGAGCAGCAGTTCATCAAACAGTTTGGACTCCATGCTGTCTCCAATTGGACTTGTTATTTGCTGCTTCCATCGACATTTTTTTGTGAAAACTTGAAAACTGATCTTTCCTGTTACAAATTTAAAACATTTTTCATAATCCATAACTACAGATAAATTGAAATTAAACTCAATGCTGCATATGCCACTTTTTCAAATTGAATTGTTCATAATGAGGATACCTGGAAGATCAAATATTTCGAGGAAAAAATTTTTAAAAAAATTTATCAAATTGTTTCGCAAATCAAGAAAACGAAAAAAAACTAGCATTATAGTATCTGGTTGATTATTCTGGAATGTTCGAGAAACTTAAGAAGAGAGATAAGAAAGTTTTGGATTGAGTTAGATATATACTTTTATTTAAAATAAAATAAACGATTTCAACTATACTCAAACATACATA